GCACTATTCTCTCAGTCCATCATCAACACACATGCTGGGGGTATGTTTAAAGTTACTGCCAGTTTATGGAGTCCAATGAAATTAAAGGTACTGCAGTTGGAATCAGGCCGAAAAAAGAATACATTGTGGTCACAGTAATCTGGCTTTAGATAACATGTACAAATTGCATCATTTTGAAAAAGAAAGGTTTTGTTGAAAATGCCGAAGTATTTATGAAAGACAAGTCTAAAAAGTCCTTTTGCAAATGTTTGTACATTTTCTCACCTACTTTTGCCAAGCTGTGTTCAAACAATTTGAAACAAGTTTCCTCTCATTGCAAGCACTCATTCAGCGAAGCCTTGGCGTGAAGCCAATTGCACAACCATCCTTTTTTTTAGTGTGTTCAATTTGATGATAAGTATTTGTTATGGCTTCCCATATTCATGTTTACGTTCACATTTTGTGCTGAATGCTGTACAAAACAATAGTATCATTATGATTTGAGGCACATTTGAGCTTGCATGGTGGAACACATGCACAGAGGGTTTGCAGGGCTGCCATCTTGCAGGCCAGTGATTTTGTTCCACAGGGCATGCACAAAGGAGGTTTCCCTGTGGAACAAAAAAAATGCTGTGTAAGATGGCTACCGTGCAAAGCCTTTATGCTTGCTATTCCAAATGTATTAACAGCTGCACATCCTGTATTGCGTGATAGATGTGCCGCAGCAGTTTTGTGTAGAGTTCAAGGTTTAGAGTATTTTAGAGTTCCAGAAAGTGGCAAGATATCCCAGTGTCCTTCCCATCTCCCTGTAGACAACCCTTCCTGGCTGTCCTCATTCCTCGCCCCCTGCACCTGCTGGGATGGCCTCAACCTCATGCCCAGTGCCATCGCTGGCAAGCGGTCAGTCCTGGAGATGGGCAAGGTGTCCCTTCTGGAGCTCCGTAACTACCTCTTTGCCCGCCAGTGCGTGCTGCTGTTCACAATGAAACGACCGTGGGAGGTGGCCCTCAGGGCCCAGTCCTTTCTGCACAACTGCATCCAGGAATTGAAAACATTGGAGGTAGGGAATTAGAAAAACTCCCAAACCTTTGTTTTTTTCCATCAAGCCATCTCGTTTCAAAAGAGTACTAACTGGAAAATTGGATAAGCCTACTGCTTTTGCAAAGTCTCTTGTCTGCTCCTTGTCTGCTCCTTGTTTGCTCCTTGTCTGCTCCTTGTCTGCTTGTTTTGTACACTTTCAGCTATGGGATCTTGAAATTTAAAGCCTCAGAAGATTGTGTTTTTGTTTTGCATTGAGTTGTTTCCAGAGTACCCTGGTTCAGTGATTCTGGTGTTCAGCTCACTTGCAGTGTTGATTTAAACTCCTTTGGGTATCACTGTGCTTGTGTTTTCACAGGCAACACACTTTACCACAATTGCCTCTCTCCACCCAGGAGTATGACTGGGTACCGGTTTGGATAGAGAACAGATTATAGAAGCTTCAGCAGAAAACTGATCTCATGCCCATTCAGTGGGGGTAATAATTGTGAAGCATGTTGACACCTTTTAGTAAAAAGCGCTATCTTAGCACCACATCATTATTTCTGCCCTTCTGGTATTTTTTGGTTGAATTCTTTCACTGCTCAGTTTATTTGTGCTTTCTGACAGGTTTCCATGCCGCCTGGGAGCATGGCATGCTGGGTGTTCCTGAGCTGTCTGGAAGTGCTGCAGTTTTGTGAGAAGTATACAGATTCTTCCAACGTTGAGAATTACTCCCACTTCACGGCCAGCCTGTGGGTGTACGCCCAGTCCAAGGTATGAGCCTCAAGCTGGACCAAGAGAGGGTGCCATTTTTTTTTAGCAGCAGAGGCTCCTTCGGTTGGAACTGAAATTGTGTTATGGTCACATTGCATCACATTGTGGTCATATTGACAAAATGAACACTTGTGACCAATATGGCTCTTTTCAACCAATGACATTTTTCCATCCCTGTTACCTGACAAGTATACATGTACTTTGATAAGGGATATCACTGAAATTGATTTCTAACTATTTTTGTCTGTTTGGCAGGTTATTTGCAGTACTCATTCAGTCTTGGAAATTAAAGAATAAATTCTAAATATTGAAAAATGATACGCCAGATGCAACAAAACCCCCCAAATTTACCCCAAATTTACATATTTCTAATCTCAGGTACTTGAAAAAACAATTACATGTATCATTTGCACATGGCATACCTGTACAAATTCTCACAGCTGGAGAAGGTGGTAAGTTTTCTGAGAGGCTTGAATTTCCAAAGAGCAGTCTGGCTTTAACTAACCTGGTCTTGTTTATCATTACAGCTGCGAGAGCTGGGGGACCTCTGTGGTCTGTTGCCGGACTCCATCTCCAACTCAGATCAGTTGCACCTTGTCGTGGGTCTGCTCGGGGGCATGGGCCAGACGCAGGAGGCCAGCATCATCGAGAACAGCCCCAACCAGAAGCTGAGAGAGGCGCTCAGCTCGTCGGAGGCATTCCAGAAACACTACTTGGTAAGAAACGTCTCTGTACTGACAATGTGTATGGCTGGTTGAATTTTGCATAGGGAGATGTATATTTTAATGTTGACTTTGCCCTTCGCATAATGCAGTGAACATGTCCTTGATGCGTAGTTCTGTCTGCAGTTATTAATGTTAATTGTATTGCTTTCTCAAAGCCACACTGATCACTTGATTCAGCAAGTAGGGCCTCCTACAAGCATTAGATCCTGGATTCAAGTCTCACCCAAGTAATCTTGTGAAATTTTGCCCAAGTGCGTGGCAAGCACAAGCACTAAATATATTATGCTAATGACCAACGCATCATTTCAGCATCGGGCAAATTCAGTATCAGCGCCTAGATGGTTTTTAGAAAAGTCCCAGTTTTACGAGCGTTTCATTGCAAAGTTAGGGGTCACACAGAAGTTTTACTTTGACTTGTGACCACGTTTTGCCTTTGAGTACTGTTGTCTTGTTTTTTTAATCACTCGTGTCTATGCCATTATTTTTTTCTCATTAAAAAGGAGCTTTCAGAATTGGCCATGGGGACTTTCAAGCACATCAAGCGCATGCGATCGGCCAGGTTAATTGGCAAAGACCTTGCCACATTTTACATGTGAGTATTGTTCCTGTCAACACCTTTATCTGTTGCCAGACTATTTAAAATGTTCTAGCATCATTTACGGACAGATGTCTGGGAAATTGAGAGGGATCTCTGCCCTTTTGTGATGCATCCGTTGATAGAATCTCTCTTGAACGGTGCACTGTTCTAGGAAGAAAGGTGAGTGGACGAAAGCAGAGACTTTCCTCATCGACGCCGTCCGCATCTATGAGAAGGAAGGCTGGCATCTCCTTGTGACCAACACTCGCCGACAGATTGCCAACTGCCAGAAAAAACTGGGCAACAAGCATAAATATCCTTATGAACCTGGCTGTCAATTCATACAATATCACATGAATATTCAGGATCTAAAGCTTCTCTGCCATTCTGCCCATTGTCATACATGGACCTATCAGCCCTTATTGCATCGTATCATATGGTTGGTTTGTTTGTTTGTAGGGTTGTTTGTTTTTATTTGACAACACTCATACAGATTACAAATGATCAAACAACTGAATTAACTCAAACAAAATAGGGATACAAGCAGATGAAGTCATGACTTATTAAGATACAGTTATTGTAGTTAGCACCTAACCACCCATTTATTCACTTTTAATACAAGTCTGATGCATTTTCCAACAAATCAGCAAGTATCCTGCAGTTATGTTTGCACCTGCGCCGCTACTGCGGCGCCCTCATTTGGCAGTGATTAAATTTGGACCTTAACGGGAAGTTCCTCCACATACCTCAAGACTTGCTGTCTCCTGGCTGGCGACTGTGCCTTGTCCATGCAGGAGAGGGTGGAGTTCTGCAATGAGATGCTCCAGATAGCCAAAGAACTTGCTGATGAGCCCGGAGAACCTGACAGCGAGGACCAGTCATGTGAGGAACCAATTTCAGTTCTCCATTGTGTATTTGAATGGATGACATCCATGAAGTGACAAATGAATATGAATGAAATAAAACCTGTGATAAATGTTGGGCTGGGGGGATTTCTTAAATTTGAATCACGGAGGTGACTTTGGGTAAATGTGTGGTTAGTGTCACTGTTGGTGTTCTAGTTTTTCTTTAAAGACTTGTATTTTCTTTTTCCAGTGAAAGTAGCACTGGTTCCATTACACTCGGTGGCTCATCTTACAAACATTGACCTCAAACCAGCCGAAGGGAGACTAGGAAAGAACGAGGTAGGCGAAATAATCCTGTGCATCCATAGCAACCTCCCACAAACCGTTGCGGTTGACAAGATCACCCTGGCTCTCAACCACGAGAGCCAGGACACGGACGACCAGTCCAACCAGCTCTCCCTCCCAAAGAGCCAATCGCAAAGTAGCTTCAAGAGCCTGTCGCCGACGGTGGACCAGTGGGGGATGGTGACAGATGGCTACCTACGGTCCCTCTTCCTAGGCAGCCAGCCGGCGATCATCCCGGAGCTGGTGGAGGACGTCCGCTATCAGACCAGAGATGGCAAGAAGGTCCTGGACTGTGCAGTCATCTACTGCAAGAACACCTCATCCGTCTTGAGGAGGGAGGACAGCTCGTCCTCCCTTGGGAAGGGTCTTGAGGTCCTGCAGAAGGAAGATTGCAGTCACCCACTGCAGGTGGAGAACGTAGCACTGAAACCTGGAAACAACGCATTCTCATTTGCATTTAAGGTGAGCATGTTTGCTTCAAAGTAATCAGATCGTCTATCGTGGTCTCCATTTTGTGTTGGGCAAAGCATTTATTAACTTGGCACTACAGTGTTTGTGGTGTATAGAGGCATGTGGCCTGGTGGTTAGGGGTTGTAGCTTTTGATCATAGGGTCAGGGGTTCGAATCCAGCCGGTGGCAGCATATTGTGATCCTGGGCATGTCACTTCACTCCTATGTGCCTCTCTCCACCCAGGAGTAAATGGGTACCTGTGAGGGCAGACACGGTTATGTTTAGCCGTTTGCGCCGAAATGGCAGCATCGGGCTCGTATACTCTCCATGAAGCTGAGATGGTTTGGGGAATGTTCAGATGATGTGTGCTTCCAGTGTGCAGAGATAACGAGGATGTGAGTGTCGTGAGCGCCTTTGTGGCAGATACCAGCGCTTTACAAATTGGCTTCTTCTTATTATTATTATTGAAATGTTATTTTCTGCTGTTTGCTTTTGAGTCAAATGATGGTTTTTGTGATGCAACAAATTAGCTTGGGGACTTTTACTGTTTAGCTAGTTGCTGTAGCATTTGCCAGTCGCTATTTGTGATCTGTTTTATCAAATCCAGCTGCTTCTGGGCAGTTGGAATAAAGTTAGTTTCAAATGGTAAATTATTCCCTCAAAAGTAATCATGTAATCTCTTGACATCTCCAGGTGATATTGTGCCCTTTTAAAATTAATGATGACATTGTCGCTCGGAGATGAAAACATGTTTTCCATTTCCATATCTTAATTTCAAGCTTTGCCCAGAAGTGACAGATTGAAAACTAAAATTGGTCTGATGAATTTGAAGACACTGGAGATTTTTAGGTTGTGACATAATGTCTGAAGCATTATAAAAAAGACATGTAATCATTTGTGTGACAGGCATCTGAGAACGGCGTGTACTCCTGCAGGCAGCTGGTTGTGCAGCTAGGAGGAGTCGAGCTGCTTCTGCCCAGCATACAGCCAGCCATCGGCATGGAGGTGTCCAGTCCTGACCCACAGCTGACTGTCACGCCCAAGAATGGTACCTACCAGTTACCATCAGATTGTCTGTCTGTCAGAATGTGTCAAATGGGCTTCAGCCAAGCAATATGGAGACTGTGTTCCAAATAGTGTTTTCAGAATGGGTGTGGTTCCGAAGCAAAACGTTGGACCAGCTTCGACCAACTAGCTATCCACATCACAAACCACCCACCCGACCAACCTACTTTCAAAACCTAGTATCCATTCATCCAATTACTATCCCCACCGAAGGCCAGATGATTCTCTGCTCACCCAAGGAAAAAGCAAAGATCCTCAGATTACCCTACAAGCCTGTGAAAACTGAGCAGAATGGGGAAATTGGTTCACTGTTAAAAATAGAACAAATTTCTAATTTTCTTTTGAAACTTTTTCTCTGGATGTGTAGGTTCTGTCCTTCTAGCTGGCATCCCTCAGGAGATCTGCATGTCCATCTTCACCGGTTACTTTGCCGTCAGCTCTCAGGACACCCTCTCTGTCCAGACCCTTGGCCGACTTAGGGCCCTACCTGCCGAGGAGGCGGATGGATACGAAGTGAAGGCAGAGGAGAATGGTGCCACAGTCAGCCTGCCAGACATTGCTCCCTTCCAGACGAAAGAGTTTAGTGTGATGGTGATGACGGTGCTCGTGGATTCGGGGGCGGAGCCTGGCGAGGAAGAGGAGGAGGAGCTGACTGAACAAAAGGTAAAGACACACAGGATGGACTAGCAGAGTTATGGATTGGCTTAAGAAGAAAATGAACAGACATGCTCGATCCCCCCAAAAATGGACAACTGAACCCTGAAAAGAAATTTTAGCAGACAACAAAAAGAAAACTAGTCGCTTGGCTAGACCAGCAGATTCATTGGAGGGTTTCACAAGATCAAGACAAAGACAGGCTTTGTCAGGAGTATTCGTCCTTCCTGATTTTGAGAATTTACCAATGGTACATGCTACCTTTTACTGGGAAACAACTTTGGAGACTTGTATTAGACTTCACATTTTGGTATTGGAATTCAATGAGGCATTCCGAACTGATTGTGGTCTGGATTCCACCTCATATTATGTATTTTTCCTTATACAGATGACCATCTGGTGCCCTTGGTCAGAGACAGTCATAGCTACTTTGACATTCCAGCAGCCATTCAATGTCAAGCACCAGCTCCACACAGCTGGAAAGAGGTCAGGGGTCATTTCATGAGCACGGAAGCCAAGTCCTCATGTATCACACATCCATCTCAAGTGCTCATTTGAACATTACAAGTCCTCACATGTCCATTACAAGTCCTCACATGTCCATTACAAGTCCTCACATGTCCAGCACTGGTCCATTATGATTGTCTAGTTCCAAATCACAAGCCTTTCTTTTGTTGACCTATGACAAAGGTATTCTTTTACCATTGTTCATTACCTGTACTATATATGTACTTACGATGGATACCTCTGTCACAGCCTTTGCCCACGTCACCAGAGCTACAGTTGTTACAACATCTCAAGAAATGCGCAAGGAAGAAAAAAATTAGGCTGGAGCATGCTTTTATTCCCGACCAGCTATGAGTTCTTCAACATTTCTATGCCATGTGTTTGTCCACCTTAATCGCTACAGGAAGCTTGTACAACTTTCTGTGGAGAACATTTGCAGCATGCAGTTCATGTTAGCATCCCCTGAGCTCCAGATAACATCAGATGATTCATATCAGTTACAGAGTGTTAATGGCAAGAATGCCTCTGCTGTAAGTACTGACCTACACGGGGAAAATTAATATTTATTAAATTATGTTTACAATTTCTGTTTGCTTTCTTTTTCCATTTTCAGAGGTTCTAAGTTTTCATTTCTGATGTTTTTGTAAATTTTAGTGAGAAATTTTTCAGTAGAATACAATTTATGCTAGAGTTTAATAATTCCAAGTGCTTGCATTATGTGATTTCCATAATCTTTGTAACCTTTTTTGAATATTTCAGATGCTGTGTGCTGGTCAGACAATGTCGTACGTCTGGTTTCTTGCGGACATTCAGCAACAGACAGATGAAGCAGGGTTCTGCTTCACCTTGACGTACACTGCACTTGGGGAGGGGGATGCCACGACAAATGGAGAGGGAGAACCCCAGCAACTTAGTCACAGTTTCAGTCTGAAAGACTACAGGGTAGGTTTAAGCAATCAATGCTCCTTGAAAAAGGGGTAAACCAGAAACAACAGAACATCTGACGTGGGAATGCAAGATGGAATTTAAGGGGAGCATTTCAAGTTGGTTCGGTTGACTGCAGCAAGTTAGAGTAGATACTGATTCCATCCAGGGGTTATGATTTTGCCCACAATCAACTCCAAAAATCCTTAGGAAAAGACTGTCATTTTGTTTCAGACAAGATACATGGTGAGCTCGACAGTCACACCGCCTCCTAGTGACGAGTTCTGCCGAGCAGGGATGCTCTGCAGCCTCCAGCTCCACATTCAGTCTGCCCTCGACAACAGCCCTCCAATCACGGACCAGGATTGCCCGTCACTCATGTACCAGGTGGTGGCTGAGAAGCATATGTGGGCAGTCTGTGGGCGGAGCACGGGGGTCGTTGCCATGCCGACCAGCGTGGAAGGTGTGGACGTGTCCCTGGAGGTCATGCCCCTGCTGGCTGGATTCCTGCCCTTGCCAAAGGTCAAACTCAGCAAGTACGTCACAGGCATCGAGGAACCCTCAGGTTTGTCATTTGGATTTCAAAGACATACCTTTTTCATGTTTTAACGACAAGTTGCAATAAGTTTTTCTTGATATTTTGTAGAGGACTTCATCAACCTGACAATTTGTATTTCCAGTGCGTGTGACTAGTCGGTAGAGGCATGGGCATCTTGAGCACATGTCCTCAACCCCCCCCCCCCCCGACCCCTGAAAAAATACAGAAAGGGGGAAGAAATAAAGTAAGGAAGGGGAATTTGCTTGAGAATAACATGGAGTCTGTCCCTTCCACTGTGAATGGTTCATCAGTTTAATCAGTGCTTCCCCTTCTCCTAAGTCCCTGTGATACTCATGCATAGAGACTGCGTACCCCATCTTATGCAGTTTGTGCAGCACACTCGGCCAGTGTGCTGCATAGCCAATATTGATAGATAGAACAGTTTAGAAAAGACATTGTTTCGTGGAAAAAGGTGTTGTACAGAACTTGCTGAAGCTGCAGTATATGTGGTATTCCACTGACTGTACTTATGAAAAGTGGGCGTGGTATCATGTTTCAAAAAGTCTAGATTTACGGCCAAAAACGATACTGCGTATGGGTCAATAGGAAAGGCTTTTTCCTCAAAAGGTCGGACCAGTGTATGTCCATGTTTAACCTCACTGCGCTGTAGCTTAATAGTAAACATGATCCGCTTGTCTGTGAACGCAGGCAAGGCTGATTGGTTAAAAAGTCAAGCTTGCTTCAACTCACCTCAGCTGAAGGTTTAAGGGGTAGATTGAAATAGCCCTAATAGTCCCAAATCCTCCGATTTCAATATGATTTTATATACACCCTAGGGGTTAGGGTTAATTTGTTTTAAAAACAAACCTTCAAAATGCACCTTTATGTGTCAGTTAACCTTGTTCTCAACTTTTGTTTCACTATTTCTAAGAGTATTTTATTGCTTTGGTCTTATGCTTATGAACATTTCCATATTCATGAGCAAAACTGTGATGTCATCCCAGGAAGAAAGCCTTAATGTTTAACTTGGTTTTTATACAGAAATGTGCTGCATTGTAAAGATTTTGCTGGACTCTAAACTTTCTCTTCTTTGCTGCTTCATTGTTTATGTACATAGCAACAAGTGAGTATATTCTGGGTTTACAAGTTGAACAGAAGAACTTGTACAATGAAGTATGTCTTCCCCGCATGACATCACAGCAACAGCGCCCCCAGTTGTCCAGGAAAGCGTTGATAATTCTAAATATTTAAACAAGTGCAGTTTCTAGGGCATTTAACCAAATAGGAATGTAAAAGAGTTTCCATCAATTAAAGAGGAGTGAAAAGTTGCAGAAAAACTGTGCTTAAGAAAATTCATTGCAGCTGACACCTTTAATGCACTAATCCCAAATCTGTTTTATACACTCACGAAGACCGAAAGTCTTGTGGAAGTGGACCACTGACGCCTAAACTTTAACTTTACTGTTGCGTATTTTTCCACAAAAATAATACCATCGGCAAATAGTATAGACAGCTTTTATTTAATTAGAATTAGAAGACAAGCAGTTTTTGACAAACATCTTTTTCCAAACGGTTGTGGAACTATTTGAACTTTCAGGAACACAGCCGGTCACCCAAGTTGTTCTGAATCAGCCAAGTGAGGGCAGTATCATACCTGACGGCACAGCCGCTGCAAGTGAGCTGGATGGCCCAGTCGTGCCAAACTCCAATGGCCTTTTGAGTGAGCCGGCGTCTCTCACCCCAGCAGCTATGGAGAAAGCGTGCTCTGCATCTCTGGTCCCATTTGCTGCCGGTCAGGTGTACTACCAAAGCCTGGCCACCCAGGTTCGGGTCTTACCCGAATCCGACATCACGGTTTTAGACGTAGCTGTGCAGTGATCTCTTTCAAATCAGAACAGTTTTGTTATCTTGTTCTGAGAGAGCAGGACAGTGTGGTTATACTGATTCTAAATTTTTCTTTGACTGTTTGGCTTTCCTTTAAGCCTAAAGGTGTGTCTGAAAACCGGCTTCCAGACTTACTGCTATGACCTACATATTTCCAATTAGTAAAGACACAAACATAACTCGAGACACAGGCTTCAAATGAAGCTTTCCTGCTTGTTATTGAGCCAATATCGAAGCTCACCTTTGACTCTGGCTGCATCCTGAAGATTACTTTTTAGCAGTAACATGAACGGTTGGATTTTCAAAGAAATGCCCATGGCTGCAGCTTAAAATGGCCGACTGTGATGTTCATGCAGCAAGAAGGTGACCAAGATGTAGCAGTTTCTCCTTTCAGTTTGGACCCTGAAATCATAAAGCCAGAATCTCATGCCAAATTCATGGTTGGGGAATTATGGATGTAGGTTTGACCTGGGTACATTGGCAGATTTGGGGGGGTGGGCAATACCCAAAAGGGGGAAATTTTATTTTGTTTATGAAATATAATGAGGGGAAATGGCAGTGGGAGCAATTTTATTAACCTTTCTCTCTTAAATTGAACCTCCAAATTTAGTAGCAAACCTCCAAAAAATCAGAAAATTTACAAGTTTTGTGGCATTCCCCCCCCCCCAGTACAGCATATGTAACAAGGTTTGAGGTTAGTGGTCAATGCATGGTATTATCTTATGCTGAATATAAAGCTGTATCATATTACCTGATGTATACTTCTGGATGTAAGTTGTTTTTCAGGCATCTGTGCAATATGTGTCTGGGTACGTAATTAGAAAGTAATTTTTTTAATGTACAAAATGTAAAATGATTAATCTTTACGACTACTTTAATATCAAAAGACAACAGAGCAGAATTTGTTTAAATGAAGCAGCTTTACTATAGTCAGGAAATTCCCATAATCCTTATAGTTATCGCTAAAAATAGTTGTTCAAAAATGCTGTGTGCAATGATGGCAAATTTAGTCGTCAAGTCAGTCAAATAAACGAAATAACAATGGCTGTGTGCGAAGTTATTTACATGATAAAATAATACTTTTTAAAGTCTTTGTTCAAAACAAGATTTCTTTCCAGAAAAATCGTTACATGCACTTTATCTCAACAACTTCCACATTATGAGTTACACGCAGTTAAGAATTTGAGGTTGAAATGAATGCTTTTACAAACATCTTCCCAAATCCTCAGCTGTATAGCAACCAGTGAAACTCAAAGCAGCATTGAGCCCCTGTAAATTAATATGGACTGGAAGCTATACTTGGAGTTTGGGAGTGTTCAGTTAGTCAAACTGTCCCAAGATAAAAAGCTGAGATCCAAAATAAATTTTTTCCACATGCACAAAAAATGTACATGTGTTGAGAACTCAAAATCCTTGCCAACACTGGACTGCCTGTCTCTTCAAGCCATCAACCATGAACAACTTTACGTTTGCTGTTGATGACTTAGACTTTTCAAACCTCCCGAAAGAAAAAGAATTTTAGTAAATTTAAATTCAGTAAACGGCTGTTTTTATCAAGAAGAAGCGGGTTTCGAGATACTTTGGACCTAAGCCGTTTGTTGATTCGAGAAGAGTAGTAACATAGGTATTGTCCGCAAATATTTAGTGACGTGAAATTTGCTTCGCTTTCGCTTCAGGTATGAACCAGTCTTTTGTGTGTATATATAAACAAAATGCACATCTATGGCCATGCATACGCCCCATCACATATACACCGTTGTTTCTGAAATATGAAATAATGTCTCGCCCAGCGAACGAAATTGAATTCCATAGCCATTTAGTCTCTCGACCTTCCAAGAAGTAACATTTGCTAGTCTTATCGGCAATACTCGATGAAAATCAACTAGTTGCGCACTGTTGCTTTGCAGCGCCATTATTCGCAAACGTAAACTGACAAATCGCCCCATCAAGGGGTTAACTGTTCATTGGTATCATAATTCTGCGTGTGCAAAGCGTACTTGAATAAGGCTGTACAAAATCATTTCAGTGGACGCAGTGGCGCACCCAAGATTTGTGTGGGTGGGTGTGTGTGTGTGGGGGGGGTCTTGGATTGGATTTACCTCAAAATTAGGTCATAATGATTGTTCAACCCACACACCCACACGCAAGTGTGTAAACGCTTTCAATCGTGGACTCCTTATTGTTCCTCTTTTGTTCATACTTCAACTTTTTCGGAAGACCTCCCATATGTTTTGTACACGTTTTCCGACCGCGGACTCTTCGGCAACCGTGGACCCTATCGTCCCCTATTGTTATAGGTCCACGATTTGAATTTGTATACAAACTCACACACACGCAACAGGCGACTGAGATGCACATGTACTGCTATATCAGAGCTAGCATTTTAAAATATTGGTGTGTATTGTATCTTTGTTTTTCAAAAAAAAAAACCACCAGGTAGGGGAGGCATATTCATATGCAGCAGGTATCTTCAGAAAAAGAGAGGGTCCCTTGGGGCCGTTTTTGTAAATTTGGTACACTCATTTCGTCCACTGGCACTAAATACGAATGAAAATGTACAGCGTACAAAGGATGCGTCCATTTTAAATGGGGGGGGGGGAACGGGACTCTGCGGCATTAATATCTGCTGTTAATATAATAATGTTGGGGGTATCAAATCTTGATTGCACTACCGACCTGAAGTCAAGGTGTAAGAAATGATTTAGTTTGGCCTGAGCTTTGAAGAGATTCTAGAACTTAATGATTTTATTGAAGGCAGATGCATATAGTGTTAGATGTTAATATACGTGCGTATTAGTGATTCATAAACTATGAGCAATTACCTACCATGCAAATATTTATGACCACATCAGTAACCGAATTAAAGCAAAGTTTGTACACATGAAGCCGAGTTGCAAGTTAATCTACGCACGTAATCAGGCGGTTCTAAATTACATGCACTCTCGTGAAAAAAATCATTTTTCAATGACCGTAATGTTATCAATTTCACATGTGAAGGCTCGAAGGAAACAAGAAGATAACTGCTCCTTGTCAAGCTGCATTTGCTGGCCAACTTAAATTTCATGACTTTCCTGTGACGTCCAAGTTTCACCGCCAGTGCAATTTTGCAAAGCTCGCATCCAACCAAGATTGACTTCGTGAAGGGGTAGCGGAGAATGGAGATAACTGAGCACTGTAATATTATGGAATATTAATTTGGTTTTAAAACCTGTCTATAAGAATTCAAGGAAAACTATGTTTACTTAAAACTCAGATTTGTTGTTAGTGTGGTATCTGCCAAACGGGCTCGTCAGCGTAGACGTTACCCACAAGTTTTTGGTCCTTATTCGCGCGGTGCCTCTCTAGGGATTTTTATGGGTCCATCCTATCACGCTTGATAATTTTAGGAAGAATGATTTCGGACTGAAATTTGCTTCCCTAACTGAAACTGAACTGAAGAAACATTCATGTCTGAATTTTATTTTCGTATTTCTCAAGTAATATTTTGGAAAAGTCACCTGGAGTTGGGCAACATGGAATTCAAGGACGAGTTTTCACTTTCTGCATCATCGTCCCCAGGTCTCCTTGTTCATGCATGGGCTGTTTTCACGTGCTTGCGTGAAAACGAAATATTGTACAGCGTTGCAGGGATTTACCTACCTGCAGTCGATGGATTCTATGTTCAGTTAAGTTGACCTGTCTGTTCTTTTCACTAAAGGTTCGATTAAACTTTAAAATCTTTCATAACGAAGATTGTTCCTGAAGTTTATTTCTCAATTAATATTGAAATGTTCATATTACGTTATCCGTTTTTATTTCTGCTTTTACTCAAAGACGGCCCTTAGATATAACTTCGTAACTGTTCATCAAGGCCTAGGTATGAAGATACCGAATTGCACTTGTCTTCAAATGTTTAGATTTTTTTGAAGCGACAGGTGAAATTTTGGCAGGATATTTCTTTCACGTTAGGTAATTTAGTCTCTAGAAATTAATCTGGCAGCAAATATTTTACATAAGATTTTTTTCTCAGGAAGTTTTATATAGACGCAAACCAACGAGAAAAATCCAAATTCTATTCGTGAGTGGGACGCTGGTAACGAATTGCACGAGATGATTGTTGATTTTATGCAAATTCCGCGGACGCACGGTATCAAACGGGTTATGGGCTGAGAGAATTGTGATTGCTTCCATGCTATACCAAACAAACGAAAGGTTACCCCCGAAATAATAAAGCATTTATGAATTAAATAATTAAGATACAATAACCTTATTGGTATATACAAGAGTCACCTCTTCAGATCCTCAACATCTTATTTGTTGATGGGGTAAAATTTGAATCTTGAATCTCTCCTGAAAGAAAAAGACTTGTTCAATTGCCTAACTACGCCTGCACATTTACTTTTATTTTTGCGATTAAACAACATAATTATATCCTTCCCTAGTAGTAAGAGGTTTGTTTTATTCAACGTATATTTTTATCATGAAAAAGCACTGTATTTCTGAATGTACTCATGTAAGGTTTAAAAACGTAGCAATTTAAATGTAGGTAGACGCCTGTCGTATATGGCATTATATACATATGCTTACAAACACACGTGGATTTACGTCACCTCGCCTGCATTTCTCTAACATGGAAAGAAAATCTTACCCAGTAATTACGAATGAATTATTCCATAGCCTTTTGTATTCTGAGCCATGCAGTCAAGAAATTCTGTCAGTCAAAAAAGTAATCATTACACGATCAGCAACGAGATGTGGGCTGTTGCTTCTCAGCGCCATGTGCCATTGTCCCCATGTCCCAAATAAATTTAGACTGACACTTGGATTGCTTCAAAGATAACGGACATTGATATCAGGATTCAGTGTCTGGAAACTGCATACATACTGCAGCTTTACAAAATGATTTCAGCAATGAAGCCCTAAGTATGACTAACAAACAGCTCAGCCAAGGTGCATATTTAATGTGAATTTGGCAACTAGCCAATGAGCATGAATGCAACACGGCCGCATAATATTAAGCAAAGTCTGTAAAGCGCTGAAAGCGCAAGATGAACAACTCTGCCCAAAAGGTGTAATTATTCCATGGGCGCCATTTGAGTAAGCGATACGCCTGCGCGGTTCACGGTAATGCTAAGGCGCAGGCTCACCAGGTGTATATGTACGTGCCACTGATCCCTACTATACTACTAAGTACATATCTGCCGCAGCACCTGCGCCTGTGCATTAATGTGCATTGCGCAGGCGTAACGCTTGCTTACATGGCGGCTATGTGATTACAACGTTTTACGAGTATTCACGGTGAAGTTCTCCATCTTGAGCTTTAATGTTAAGCCTGGTTTACTGCAAATACATGACCAATCAGCATCTTACAAGTATTGGCACTCTGGGGCGGCTGAGGAAATAAAGCAACAAGGCAAGACTTCTGCAAGAGGGACTTCATTTCTAGCTTGTGCAAATTACCAAAAGATAGGTTTTCTCTGTATGCATCAGAGAAAAGGCAGCTTTTCCAACTGCGCCAACTAAAGTGGAAGAAAAAACGTTGACTGTCAAGCACTGGACAAAGCATTGCTAAATGAAGTCAATCTGTTAGTGGTTGTAAAAAAACTATTCAAGAATGAAAAACTGTTTTGCTTCGTGTTCGTCCCTTCAGTATACATGTGCCTCAGATGGCTTCGTCGTACTTACGCTGCTGTTGATCTTGA